ATAAAAATGTTTTCAATACAAATCTTAGTCACATTTAAATCAGGAAATATTAGTGTTTTGAATAGTTAAAAATTTTAATATTATTATAAAACACTAATTTGGGGATTTTTTTATATTTTGAACGTCTATGATATATAATATATCATTTTAATTTCTCACAAACTCTTCATTTGTAATTCATAAATATTAAACAAGTCGGATGACTGAAGTCAATCGATACACATAAGCTTTTCTATTTAATATGTAATATTATATTAATAAAATATAATGTTAATATTAATATTAACATAATAAAAATTATTCTTGTTGTTCATGAAATAATTGTATCGATTGAATGATATTTTCAATTTTAATAATTTCTTTAGATCGTATGTATAGATCGGCTATTACTGGACTCCACTGCCGATAGAGTGGACATATTTGTCACATTCTTTTGGTCCATATTTTACACACAATTAGCAAATTATATCATTAAAACTGTATTTCATTAGACAATAAATATAATTAAGACGCAAACTGTGTGTGCTCTGTAACAAACATTATTGTAATGCCTATTGTAATAGTAATCATTAAATTATTATATAAGACAGCTAATTTTATACGATTAGATAGGCCTACAGTACAATCAATTCCATAGTATTCAAGTTATAACATAACAAACAAGGTAAAAATATATAGTTATGTTTGGTCTCATTAATCGTCATAATATAATTAATTGCTATATTAATGTACTGTATTAACATGTTAGATTTTATACAATTTAAAAATTGATGTGGATTAATTCATACCAAGCTAAATATATTTTATAATTCTATAATTTAGCTTAATGGGGAACCTCGTTAGGTGTCAGCAAATTGTGCCAGGATAATCTGCAATAACATATACTCTATGATCATATCTACCATTTTAATTGATCAAACCTTCCGAATATCACAAACTAATCCCATAAATCCAATTATAGTCTTTGGTGACATGCACATTTTACATATTAAATAACATTATAAATATAGATGACTATTCAATGATACACTAATATTTTATATGAATTCATAGACTTATATTTTTAGTAAATATAATCACAATTTGTATTAAAATCTATCGGATAATTGACGCCAAAGTATTGGTGAAGTTCCGTTTATATTTATAATGTTATTTAATGTGTAAAATGTGCATGTCACCAGAGACTATAATTGGATTTATGGGATTAGTTGGTGATATTCGGAAGGTTTGATCAATTAAAATGGTAGATATGATCATAGAGTATATGTTATTGCAGGTTATCCTGGCACAATTTGCTGACACCTAACGAGGTTCCCCATTTAGATTTGATTTTAATTAATTAATTGGGTTGTAATGACTCATATTTAATGATAAACCTTGGTATTTCTATTTAGGATATTTTTTTTTATATGAAATCTATTATTGATTAGTATATAATCAGTGAAATACTTAAATTTTATAAGTTTTCAAATAATATAATATGAAATCGAAATATTTATAAAAGAGTAAATGGCAAAAATAAAAGTAATTACTAATGTGTAAACTACCCTGATTGAGCTATAAACTTTATCGAATTTGGCATACTTGTCCCATAGAGGTGTTATTTTTTCACATAAAATAAAAGTAAATTATTTCCTATTTTCTTAAAACAAAACAATTTATATTTTAAATAAATTTTTTATGACACTTTGTTTGCCAATAATTTGGTCCATTGACTGCATTCACACCATAACTAGTGTACAGATGTGTCAAACATATTGTCTGAGCGCCTATACCTATAACATTGGGTTACCATTATGTCTATCGGACATAATTTTTTGGTAACATCAAACCATGGTAACTGACCACGTGCCATTAATGCCAAAATGCAAAACAGAACAATTTGTCCCTGGCCACCTATGAGTTTGCCATTGTTAAGGGTCTCAAGCGTTATTTTGTTCTCGCACAATTCAACGATTTTTAAACCTAAATAAACGAGTAAATACCCTTTTATCAAACACTTTATTTCAATAAATACTAACCAGGTCAACGATTAAATACATCACTTACTGTATGTCACTAAATAAACAAGACATATATAAATTTATAGAGAGATTTATAATACATACTGATATAACTTATAAATAATTAAAGCTTTATAATAGTAATTTTAACATAATAATTAAATAATTTATTAGAACCACAATAACTTTTAATCAAGCAACTTAAAAATTGATTCATGTGTTATTCTCTATAAGTTTATATGAAAGTATAACTAATATTACTAATAAGTTGACCAAGCTCTAACGCCTGTCTGTGAATGATTTATATATATATAACATTTTATAATCACTTTAATGTGATATTTAATCAATAGATTGATTCAGCTACAATAATTTGTGCATAGCATACGGCCAAGGTATTAATCAACCGCCCATCCAATTGTCGTTCATTATTCATTTAGGATATAATTTTATCAATTTTGTTAATTTATAATCATTTTAATTAACAAATCAAGAACTTATTTAACCATTTTACTACCGTATAATTTTCTAGTTTCTTACACCACTAAAGATATTTTGTTTTAAAGTAATCAATGAAAAATTTGTTGTCATTTCGATAAAGTAGTTTTAGTGTGGAATCAAATGTGGGCTCATTTTCGAGACAATTCCTATCAATAGACCATAAGTTATATTCCGATAATACTTGTGAACACTCGGGTCTAGTGTTATGCGTGGCAACACTCATTGAGTCAACGATTTTATCCAATTTTATGAATTTGTCGTATATTTCATATCCTGAATATATACTCAATTCCGGCGAACTGTAATAAAAATTATTAATACGTTTTAATGAATGCTCAATAAACTAAACATCAAAATAATTACTTTAAATCACTCAAATTAAACAATTTGTCTGCAATGACTGCCAGACTATAAATATCCGCTTTCGGTGTATATTTAGTTTGCAATTTAACTTCCGGTGCTATGTATTGAAGAGTTCCCACTCCTCTGGTATGACTTCCAGAGGCAATGGAGTGCAATGTCGCTAACCCAAAATCAGCCACTTTTAAATACCTCCCATTCATTACAGTCTTCGCCACTAATATATTTTCGGGTTTGAGGTCTCTGTGAATGATCTGTGGATTCAATTCATGTAAATATTGA